GGATGGGAAGTACAATGTACATTTGAGATATAATGGGAAAAATTATGAACTGTTACTTTCACTATAAACATAAGGCTGCTTTCTGTGGTAGTTATCCACTATCACCCAGCATTTTTTAAAAATAATATTCATGAAAATATTTGAATAGCAGTTTTATTCTAGTTTAACAACACTATGGGGGCACACGATGAGTAAGTACAATCCCAAACTGAAATGGGGTAAGAGAAGAGACATTCTACAAGAAAAGATATTTTTTCTGAATGACACCAAACATGACTAATGTTAAGATTTTAAAAATTTAAACATACACATGAACATATGTATTCCCTTAAATTCATATTCTGTAGCCCTAACCCCTAATGTGATGGTATTAAAAGATGGGCCCTTTGGACAACTAGACTGAAGAACAAAAGGACAGCAACTTGTCTGTTCCTCTTCCCCCGATTCCCCAATAAAATCTTAAAAAAAAAAGAGATGGGGCCTTTGGGAAGTGATTAAGTTTTGAAGAAGTCATAAGGGTGGGGCCCCCATAATGAGATTAGTGTTTTTACAAGAAGAGGAAGAGGAAAGACCTCTCTTTCTTTCTCTGGAGCATGAACAAAGAAAACATTAGGTGAACACAAACCTTGATGGTGGCAGTCAGCAAGCCAGGAAGAGAGCCCCCATCAAGAACCAAATCTGAGTTTGGAGATTTCTTTCTCTAGTCTAGATACAAATAATTTATTATATACGAGTATGTCAACTTAAATTTCCTCAAAAAATCGACTATAGTAGTGTTTTAAAAGTTAAATGAAGAATAAACTCAAATATGAAAGCTCAAAAATAAAATAAAATACAATTTAAAAAAAAAGAAACAAATCTGCGGGCTCCTTGATCTTGGACCTCTCAGCCTCCAGAACTATGAGAAATAAATGTCTGCTGTTTAAGCCACCCAGTCTGTGGTATTTTGTTATAGTAACCAGAGCTGACTAAGATACATGGTGTGACTCCAAAGTAAGGAGATTAATTTTCCTGTGGCTTTTTGAAATCTGTCTCTTTCATAAACCATGCTTATTATAAGGTACATTATGACCTTAGCTATCTAGGAATTTTAGGCACCTAGAGGAGTTCTAAAACCTGGGGAGGGGAAAAAAGACCTCATATTTCAGAATCTCTTGTGGCCAAACAGCTGTCCCTGAACAGCCAGCAACCAACAAAAAGAGAGAACTAGAGCTGAATATTATAATCAAGGGAATTCCAATTGACTGCTTGTGTTGTAAAAGGCTAGATTTACCATACAAAAGCCAAGAAGTGGGAGAAGTGACAAGAAATACAAGAGATAAGTAAGAATGAAAGCAAAGTGAAAGATAGTACCAGAGGCACACACTGTAGCTGGGGAAGAAAGAGAACCAGCAATGAAGTTACAAATGCTGGAACAGCTCTGCAATCTGGTAGCAATGCCTGTGTAAGGGCTTCCTGTGTTTAAGGAGCACTTACTATGTGCCAGGTGCTTTGCCTACACTGAGTGTTTTTTTTTTTTTTTAGCTGAGCCATCCTGCCACCTGTTGGCAGCTCAGCTCGGGCTGGACTCGAACCGCTGTTGCTCAGAGCTCAAACCCTTGAGCGAGCTCTTAACTAACTGAGCCACTCGGCCGGCCCTTACACTGAGTGTTTTAATCTTCACAATAATCCAATGTAGTAATCATTTAGGACGCTTTTGGCTAAAGTTTTAGAATTCTCAACTCAAACTGGCTTCAACAATGAAAAAACATTCTCTCATACAATACGAAGTCTAGAAGTACGCAGAACTTTAGGATCGACTGACTCAGTGACTTATGAAGAGGCCAGGTTCTTCTATCTCTCTGTTCTGTTGCTGACATTAAAAACACCATTTTATACCAGAGGGTAACTGGGGAGGGAGGTGGTAGCTGAGAGTAAAAGGGATCAAATATATGGTGATGGAGGGAGAACTGACTCTGGGTGGTGAACACACAATGTGATATATAGATGATGTATTACAGAATTGTGCACCTGAAGCCTATGTAACTTTACTAACAGTTGTCACCCCAATAAACTTCAAAAAAACCCAACACCATTTTATTGTTTTTGTATTTTTATTAAACTTATTGTAGTGACAGTGGTTAATAAAATTATATAGGTTTCAAGTGTACATTTCTATAATACATCATCTATATATCACATTGTGTGTTCACCACCCAGAGTCAGTTCTCCTTCCATCACCATATATTTGACCCCATTGACCCTCTTCTACCATCTACCTCTCTCCCTTACACTCTGGTAACCACTAAACTGTTGTCTGTGTCTATGAGTTTTTGTTTGTCTTGTTCATTTGTTGTGTTAGTTATAGTTCCCACATATGAGTGAAATCAGAGGGTTCTCGACTTTTTCTCTCTGACATATTTCTCTTAGCATAATAATCTCAAGATTCATCCATGTTGTCGCAAATGGCAGTATTTCATCTTATGGCATTTTAAATATGCATAGCATCTGATCTTTTCTTGGAAATTAAAATTAAGGAACACTACGAGAAAGCAGTGACCTGTAGCACACCTTTAAAAGTGAACTAATCTAAAGATAAATGTGCTGACAAAACAATATTTGTGCTCTAATACATTAGTAACAGGAATAGGGTAAGTAATATTTTTTAATTCCTACTATGCATCAGAAAGTATTTTATGTTAATGGTGCAGAAAGCATAAGGAATATTTTCAATGGGGCAGAGAAGTAAAAGGACACAAGCAACAGTAGTGACCTTTGGAGGGCACAGAACAACACTTGGAAAAAGGCTGCCTTTGATTTATGGAGCATGTTACACTGCCCACAAAGTTGAGAAGTTACATATATTTTATTTCACATTTATGGGAAAAAGGCAAATGGCACCAGAAATCTTTTTAAGATAGCATATTCTAAGACTATTTCTGTGTTCAATACCCATTCAGGTTCACTATCTATATTTGCATCTTCATGAAGAATAACAGCTACAAAATATCACAATTGTCAAAGTTTAATAATGAAGACACTGAATGAATATTGGATTAAAAATCTGGTTTAAGCTGGATGGGAAGTACAATGTACATTTGAGATATAATCTTCATCAAAATTAAAGCTCTGGTACTATTTAAAAAGCCAATTTTAAATCAGCCAGAATAACTGCCCAGCCCAGCGTGACTTGGATATGTTTTTTACTGTATTATTAAACTATAGAACATTAATGTTAAAACGCTTCAAGCACCAAGTGCTTTAACTATGTTGTATGAAAGAACAAAATTATTTTGGAATTTCTGAGCACTCAGTAACTGTGATTATTATTGAGTACCACCGTAAAGAGCCAAAATTTTATCTTAAATAAAAAATTAAGTAGAAAATTAAAAATAAAAACATGTATAGGGAATATAGCGGTTACACAAATAAGCATTTAAAAAATCCTCCAGAAATGGCACAACAGATTGGCATAATTCAACTTTACTTAGTTTATGGTAATCAGGGTCAGACAAATACTAACCACTGTCAAAGGCAGTAACTGAATTTAAGAAAAAACACCTAACACTTCCCTTTTACACACACATATGTACACATGTGTGTGCTATCTACAGGAAAGAAATTGGGCTATATCTACCTTGTGGGGATGTGGGTAAGAATGTTGGGAGCATTCTACTCACTTGAGAAGACAGTACAGCTTACCCATCTCCAATTGCTCTCATTTTTTGCTCTGTCTTCACCTCTTTCTCCCACCCCTTCATTTTTTCCAGCAACTATTTTTTCAAATTGTTTTTCAATCCTTATTTTACTTCCACTTTTTTCTTCTCTCTCATGCTTTGTTTTGTAGCTATAGCCTAAGAGCTATTTCTTGGCAGCAACATGAAAGTCTTGCGCAAGGATGCCCTGTTTTAGAGTAATCAACAGTGAGTCACTAACAGAACATCTCTACATATATCATGGTGCTTATTTTCTTCAGAAAATGAGTGGGTGAATCAACTGTAAGAGAATAAACTATCATGAAGTCTACTGAGAACAGCACAGTCTTATCAGCTATGGCATTACTTATTATGCTGGTACATGAAAAGCAGATACTTTGCTGAAATAGAAAATTAAAAAACTTTGTTTTGTCTCACAAAAATTTTTAAAATGACAGTGGTACTGAAGAACAAATAATCCAACTACAAAAATGTACCTGTATCATTTGGGCCTTCCATGTCAGCATTTCAAACAGTCTACTTCAAAGGATTGAAATGCTAAAATCAAAAATAAAGAACCTGTGGAAATGCTATAGGGGTAAAACAGCCACAAACTATAAAGCCTTTAGTATCTCAATCCTCAAAGGTTTGGAACTCTATTATGCCTTAATTTACACGCTTATCAGTTGGCTTTCATAGAAGATCAATGAAAATGGTATGCTCATTCACAGTCTACTAGAATTTTACCTCCTTCAATGTGGGTTATTCTTAAAGAAACTTTTCTTAAGTTACGAAAACTATTCTATGTTTCACAGGATAGTTTTTGGGTAAATTTCTACAATAACCTCTACATTCAAATTTCCAGCTTGGTGTGTTTGAATGAGGAAGAGAGAAATGAGAATATTTTATACATAAAGGATATGGTAACCAAAGAAATACAATACATTTTATACTTCTAAGGATTATTTATGTAATTAAAAAAGATCATGAGTAATCATCGAGGGACTGAAAAATAAAAATAAATATAAGAAAAACAAGGCGGCTGTAAATAAATAATAATTTTAATAAAAACTGATACTATAACACAACAAATTTATACTCTACTTGCTTGAGACAACTGATGGTCACTGTCATGAGAAACAAGTTATCAACCACCGGCATGAAGAAGGTGTGACTTAAATTGGGATGTGAAGGTCACAAGAAATATGGCATAATACTATGTGCTGGGAATATAAAGATTCTTTTAAATACTAAGAATAACAGGGCTGGGTGAGTGGCACGTTGGTTAGGAGTTGGCTTGGGACGCCAGCTCTGAGCTGCAGGGCCCTGGTTCGGATCCCACATGCGGGTCAGTGACACTGCCTCTACAGCTAAGATGGTGAACAACAGCTCAAGCTCAAGATGGAGCTGCCGTGAGTCGCCCGCGATGGTGCAGGCTGCAGTAAAACGCTGGCAGCTGGTGTGAGCTTGTGTGTGCTTTCATGAGCTGCCATGAGCCACTGTGAGCGGCCGTCCAATGGCCGGCGAGTGACTGCCTCACCCGGGAAGAGCGCAATGATAATACCAACTAGACTGAAGAACAAAAGGACAACAACTTGTCTGTTCCCCTTTCCCGATTCCCCAACGCTGTTCCCCTTCCCAAATTCCCTAATAAAATCTTTAAAAAAAATACTAAGAATAACAACAGCAGCTAAAAATTACTGGACATTTGCCATAGCCTGGGATAGTATTTTTCATACCATATATTATCTACTTGGTATTTCTTAGCCTAGGAAAAAAGTACTATTCTTATCCTAACTGTTCAGATAAGAAAACTGAGGTTTAGACAGGGTAACTGATTCGCCCAGTCATGCAGCTAGTAAATGGCAGAGCAAGGAAACTCTCACATGAGTCCAAGAGGACTTATTCATAATTATTTATGAATAAGTATTATTCATAATTATTTATGAATAAGTATTATTCATAATTATTTATAATGTTTAAATAGAGAAAAGGGTGGGGGAATTGATCACAATATCCATTAAGAGAATGGAGACATAAATGTGGTCTGTTCATACAACAGAATACCATGTACAGCGAAAATGAATTAACTAGAGCTACACATATAAACATGAATGAATATCACAAACAATGCTAATTGATAAAAACAAGTCACAGAGGAATATATGAAGCATAAATAAAATTTATATAAAGCTTAAAAACATACAAAACAAGTTTAGGAATACATGCATATATAGTAAAAGTCTAAAAACATGCATAGCAATGTTAAATACAAAAGTCAGGACAGTAGCTATGGGCGATTCAGGGAGCAAGGGGAATGCAGTCAGAGCTGGAGGGATACACAGGAGGTTTCAACTGAATTTGCAGTGTTCATTAATAACTTTTTGTATATCTGTAAGATTTTACATTAAATTTTAAAAATCATAAATCATTTTGGATTTGTTTCAATGGCTTCTACTGCCTTCAAAATAAAATTCCAATTTATCCTAGCATTCAAACACTCCACCATCTTGCTGTTTCTAATCCTTATCTTCTATAAGTAAGCACAAATTAACCTTTCGGATTTAGACAGCCTAATTGCCTTAAGTTCCTGGAACATATAACAATGTTCAACCCAGAGCCACTGCTGACAAGCTAACTCTTCATTCTTGATAATCTAAATACTATCATTCAAGGTCTGAGAGGCCTTAAACTATCATAATATATACAGGTTACTTCTTGATTAAGAGATGTATATAGTGGGACACACAGAAAGAATTGATCTATTCTACTTAGCGAGCAGGGATAAGAAACATAGCCTTATTTTCAGGTTTTTCAAAGACATGGAAAAACTTACCTTCAAAAGATATGAATTACCCAGTCTACAAAAGCCCAGGATAATTTAGAATTTAACCATGTACTATTTTGAACTATTATTTAATTAATATTTCTCCAACCAGGATACTTTGTTCTTAAGAACTCTAAAAGTTATACAAATTTTAATTAAGTCAACAAACACTTCCTAACAAACACTATGCTCTAGACAGTTGCTATCTTAGGCCATGAGGGGTATAAATATGCAAAAACATTGTCCCTGCCCTCAAGTATTGTATAATCTCTAGTGTGGGAGTCAGACAAGGATATGATGGAGGACTTCAGCTTCTAGAAGGATGGAGTGCAATATACTTTTCCCAATTCCTTCCACTGAGTACACCTCAAAACCCTGGATATTATAAATAAAAAATAAGTATAAGAAAATTGAAAGGTGGAGGGAAGGTGTTAGACCAGTTAGGTACCTCAGGACCTGAGAAATGACATGGAAGTAAGGTCCCAGAGTTTCTTCCTGCTTCCTATATCTTGGACTGGGTGCTGGAAAAGCCAGCAACACAGAAATGCCAACCATTGCAGATAAGACCCAAGAAAAGTCTGCTCTCTCTAGCCAAAAGACCAGGAAAGGGGTGGTCTAGCAAGACATAAAACTTTTAAACAACAGCCACTATACTATAGCCGAACACCACAGGCAAAACTGAGGCCATACCCTCACCCCCACAAGCAAAGGCTGAGGGGAGAGCCTAGACTTCCATCCTGGCTAGGCTGAAGTAAGGTATTATTATACTCCCCATCCCACCAGCATGGTGTTAGAGAAGGTGGATCTTTCATCCTTGCCAGGCAGTAATGAGCCCCGGCCCCCAAGATATCAGTGGAGACCACATGGGGAACCTTGATATCCATCACCACCTGAAGGTAATAAGGCACTCCGCCCCTTCTCTACTGGGGTGGTATCCAAGAAGGCCTAGTGGAGAGTCAGGATATTCACCATCATGAAGTGGTAACAAGGTCACCTCAATGGCGATGTTAGTATGGGGAGCACTAACAAGGGACTCCTATCCCTCCCAGCCACTGTGTTAAGAGCAGAGGCCTAGTGGGAGACCTAAACTCCCACCCTTGCACAGGAAAAATAAGGGGCCCTTTCATCCTTAGGTGTCAAAACAGATTGAGCAGGGGCCCTTGACGTCTACCCCTCACCTGGTAGTAATAAGGCAGCACTGCCTTTCCCCTTGCCAGAGTAGTGTTAGAGAAAGCCAACTAAAACAGAAGTTTTGAATACAATCCAGAGCATTATAGCAAAATAGCAAAATATGTAAATATCAATTAAAAACTACTCATCATAGCAAGAACCAGGAAAATCTCAACTTGAATGGAAAAGGAGAGTAAACAGATACCAACATTAAGGTCAGAGATGTTGGAATCACCTGACAAAGACTTTAGAGCAGCCATCATAACAATGTTTCAACAAGCAGTTATGAACATACTTGAAGCAAATTAAAAAGTAGAAAGTCTCAATAAAGAAACGTAAGATACAAAGAAAAACCAAATGGAGAAATTAGAACTGAACAATATGACTGGGGAAAAAAAACACCTCAATGGATGACCTCAACAGCAGAATGGAGGAGACAGAAGAAATGGCTGACAACTCTCCAAATTTGGCAAAATACATAAACCCCACAGATACAAGAATCTGAGCAATTCCCAAATATGATAAACCCAAAGAAATTCACATCAAAACACAGCATAGTCGAACTTCTGAAACTAAAGAAAAAGAAAGATCTTAACAACAGCAAAAGAGAAACAATTTACCCATAGGGGGGAAAAATTATTCAAATGACTGTGTCAGAGGATTAAATGATTATGGTAGACTGAATAATATCCCCCCTCCCAAAGATTCTGATGTCTGAATACTCAGAAGCTATGAATATGTTCCCTAACATGGTAAAAGGAATTTTACAGATGTGATTAAGTTACGGATATTTAGATGAAGAGATTATGGTGGATTATCAGGGTAGCCCCAAAATAATCATAACTGTCCTTATAAAGAGGCTGAGGGAGATTTAACTATGGAAGAGGACTAGCGAAGTAATACGGCATGTAGCAGACTTGACCAGCCATTGCTGGGTTTCAATAAGGAACGAGTAGTCATGAGACAAGGAATACAGGTGGTCTCTAGAAGCTTTTAGAAAAGACAAAGAAATGGATTCGCCCCTAGAACATCCAGAAAAAATGCAGGCCTGCCAAAACTCTGATTTTACTCCAGGGAAGCTGATTTTGGACTTCCATTCCCCAGAACTGCAAGGTAATAAATTTGTGTTGTTTTTACCACTGAGTCTGTGGTAATTTGTTAAATCAGCAATAGGAAACTAATACAAGGGTCAATCTACTGAGAACCATTTTTTTTTAAACTAAACATAATTACCATAGGACCCAGCGATCTCACTCCTGGGCATTTCTTCCGGGGAAATGAAAACTTATACACACACAAAATCCTGTACACAATTGTTCATAGCATCTTTATTTGTAAGACCCCCGAACTGGAAACTTGCATTTGGTTTTGAATGGTAGTGTGAGGAGCTTGGTGAAACAGAGAGACATCTATTAAACTATTCAAATTAACAAATTTTCTGGATTTTCTAGGAAAGTCTGGATATGAAGCACAGGGATTAGCAGAAGCAGAACCACTCAGTCATGAGAATGGTAGCTATCCAAG